GACAGTGATGTTGATCCTACTATACATGACGGCATCATTATGTCCAACTGCTGCGGTATGCTAGGATTTGTAGTACAATCCATAAATTCGCATGGTGGGCTAAAAGACTTAGCATATACAAAAACCGGGGATATAATATTAATAGGATACACAGAGCACTACTGAAATTTAACTACCGTAATCAAGCCCTTTTGAGGAAGTTTTTCGATGCGGACCACCATGGTATCAGGAATCTATGTCATACGTTAATAGAGTCGGCACTCATCACTAACCACACTGCCTTACAAACGTGCAATCGAACTGAGCTTAACTGATTGTTGGTTTGCTTTCTATTTTTACAAAATCTAACAATTCGTCTGCATTATTTCATTTTCCTTTTCTCTTCTAAACTACCCAACATGTCCCCAATCACATAGCGAAATGGGGCACTGCACTGATGATTCCCACCCCGTTTCGCTACATTTTAGTTGTCTGTGTTTGCAGTCAGGGACGAAACACAGACGTTACTCGATGCACATACCGGCTAGCTTAAATGAGGTTGTACAATTTGGCTTCTTCACTAAAACCAAATAAACAAAACCGACTGTTCTATTCCTCTTACCTCTTGTCGCTACACCCTATCAGCAGCAATACAACATTTTCCAATACTTACCTCTATGCAAAAACGCATAAAAATGGAATGATTGCAAAACAGGAGAGGCCGAAGGGGTCACTGAAGAGTGCAGCGTAAAATAGGTTTGAGCTGGAAATGGCCAAGTCATGATTGCATGATAGAGAAATAACAAACGATTATTTTCCAGAATGACAAGTGAATAGTAGCTAGGAAGGTAATTGTGAGCCTTTTTTGTTAAAAACGTGAGATCACTGTTTTTACTGGTATGCATCTGGGAGTCGAATGTCAAACAGGTGGTAGAGCCAGAACAAACAAAAATTCGTCGTAATGACTTTCAAACGATTAATAATGAATTGCATAAAATCACTAGAATTTTGGATTCATTTGATGTACAACTTTGTCTGAAGATTCAGTTATAAGTTAAACCTAACAGCAACGTGCACAAGGCATGCCCGTGTGAACATCTCTTTTTTTTTTGCACAGATTTTCATACGGACGTTTGTGGCTAAGTGGGACTGTCTTTTCCTGCAAGTACTTCTAGCTAAACGAATGAAAATATGTGTCAAATTCGAATTCATTATTGTCTTTTTCATTGTCATGCAAAAACTGTCAGCGCCATGTTGCACTGTACCTTAGATGCGTGGGACGCGAAAGCTGTTTTCATATCCACTAACCCAAACATGATCGTGTATCGTGCAAGTAAGTACTCTAGCTGCTCTGGTTACAAAGTATTCTTTTGACTTGTACGTGTTCATACGTGAGATGTGGAAGGAAAAGGAAGGTTTCTTTCAAGTGCACCTGCTCAAACGCAGCTGTAAGTTATGCTCGGCAAATTTCAACATTCCACCTGCTTTGGTTGCATAGTTAAGTGTCGGCGTCAAGTTCAATATACCCATATGTAAGACGTGGAGCACAAGAAAGCTCGTTTTTATGCGTTTTGCGTTGTATCATATAACAGCAACGCAAAACGCAAATTGTCACGCCTCTATATGTGTATGTGTGTTTGTGTGTGCATGCATTTTGTTCCACACTTTCAACTCGGGAACCACTAAAGCTGGAAGGCTGAAATTTCAGTAGGATGTGTTTCCGCTCATGCGTGATTTCCCAAATTTAACAACAGCCCTCATCTATCACTAAGTACCACGTACGAACCCGTGGAAGTTTGGCGAAGAAAATCATTATCTTAGGAGTTACGAAAGCCAGGAAGCTGAAATTTCATGGTAATGTCTCCTGCTCATCTACGACTTCGCAAACTTAAATTCAGCCTACTCGTACAGTCCCGTGAAAGTTCTGGCACAAAAACTGTTATCTCGGGAAACATGGAAGCTAGAAGCTAAAATTTTAAGGCTATGCGACTCCACAAAGTCATATTTGACTTTCACGTAGGCCTAGGTCTCACGTACAGTCCAGCAAAGATTTTGATGGGACAAGTTATTATCTTGAGATCAGAAGAGCTAGGAGGCTGAAAACTTGAAGACAATGTTTTCTGTTTATATTGTGGTCCCACAATGTCAAAATTAGCACCCATCCATGACGAGGCCCCACATACAAACCATGTGAAAATTTTGGCACAAAATTTACTCGGAACCAAGAGAACTAGAAGGTTGATATTTTGGGAAGATGTTCGCCGTCAAAGTTTTCAAATTCAGCCTTCACGTACTTCTGCGTCTTACGTGCCGGTACGTGAAATTTTTTTAATGAGGTCAAAGAATCCGAAACCTACGTCCAGAAGCAAAAAAAAAGCAAAAGCAAAGAAAACACTGGGCCTATGCGAATGGTAATTGTCTTACGAAAACTCGCTGCTAGTAGGAAGCTTCCTTAGTTATGAAACTGATGCTTAGGTAAAGCACAGACCTTTCAACTTACCTATGTAGCTTCAGCTTATTTGCCTTCAGCTTTATAAATGGGGAAGTCCCCTACTGATGACTGGCTTTTCGTTTGCTTTTAATTTTTTTTCTTGCTTCAGGCTCATTTTTTATGCGTTTTTGCTGTGCAGCGCTACCGCTGCTACAGCCTGTAAAAAAGCATATTGTCGAGAGGCTGTCTGCGTTTGTGTGTGTTCGGAAGCGAGTGCATTTTGTCACCCACTTTCATCCCAGCAACCAGGAAAGCTGAGAGGCTGAAACTTCGGGTATATGTTCCCACCCCGTGTGTCATTCTCCCATTTTAAGATCTTTCCCCATACGTGCCTAGACCCCGCGTATCGGCCCCCCAAAGAAATATGTTGGCGGGAAACGATTTCGCGAACCAGGCAAGGTAGATAGGTGAAACTTTACAGGGATATTCTCTATGCACGTGCGAGCTAAAGATTTTAAATTCAGCTGTCGAGTATCCCAACCACAACCTCAAACAGCTCCTTAACCTAAAAATCGTTAAGGAATCCATTGCAACCCGGACCCGAACCGCAGTCGTGTATGTAAATGAACATTAGTTAATTTGCATACATGGTTCTTTTGACAAACGACCGCTCGAGCAATACTTCCACTTTTTAGTGAACTGGAAATTTGCATTTTTTCAAAAAATTTGTATTTGTCATTTTCCACAAAGCGAGCATCTGCCGAAAAAATGACCGAGCTTCATGTAAAAAACTGGAAATCATGTACCTCGTGATCCATGCGGCCCTGTAATGCAATACCTTCATCCCAACCGACGTTTCTCCTGCATGCCGGAAGAGGTCAAAGCACAGTGTGTCTAGAAATACAACAGTAGAATATCGCAGGCTATTTCTACTGTGCCAGATAGAGGTAATAGTCATAGGCACCAGAAGAGGGAGAAAAGCTAGAAAAGCTGAAATTCTAGAAATTATGGTCATCGCTGTCATACTTCAACCACAGCAAGGATCCGCCCGAACAGCGATATTTAATGCTCGCGAGAAACTTCCCAAGAAATCCACCTTCCTCCCTCCACCGCTGGCCAACCGAGTACTTTGATTCTTTCTCTTTGCTGCTGTTTGCAGCTTTTTTTTTTGAGCTTCTGACTTATATTCTCGTCCCCTTTCTTTATTCTCTCCAGTGCTGCCCACTGCTTTTTGCTCCGTCTGCTGAGTTAAGAGCAAGGATGTTACTCTTTTAGTTTTGCTCAAAAAAATGTACTTGCGCAGGTAGTGAGCAGCTGACCTGTTTTACTACTGAATAAGCGTTTGAAATTTTGTCGTTTTGCGCGTTTTGTGTCGTGTACATCATTCGAATTATATGCGTTGAATAAATGGTTTAATAACCCAAATTTGAGGTGTGGTATTCGATTCCAGACAGCCGACTTACTATTCAGTTGGATCGAATCAGCTAGAGCCGACATACTGGATCCATTATTTGATCATCGATTTTGCTGGTAATTTCGGACCAAATTGGAAGTGGAACGTGTGGCAACTGGTATTAACAGAAACGGTCATCTCCAATTCTTTTGGTTTCGCTTCCGTTTTCCACAGCATGTAATACTTCAGCCCTTTCCCTACCCGGGTATTTGTAGCAAGAACCAGGGGTACGCTTCCCCCTCCTTTTCACCCATCACCTCCTTCCCTCTCCCCTACGTGACCTAAGCAACTGCCAAAAGATCTACACCACGTAGTCTTTCACCCACCCACCCCAATCCCTCTCCCTGCCTCGAATTCCACACTCAACAAATGTGTTCTTACACTGACCCTCTCCCCCCCCCCCCCCCCCCCCCCCCCCCCCCCCCCCCCCCCCCCCCCCCCCCCCCCCCCC